TATGCGGAGCAAATCCATCTGGTGGAGTCAGGTTAGTTCAGTTTGGGTTATTTAAACCATGTGATGACAGAAATTTTTCAAATTAAGGAATGAGTATACTTTGTAAAAACAGGAAAAATGATAAAAGAGTAGCTTTCTTTCACAGGGAATAAATGGTCATTACGTTTTTTTAAATAAAAAAACTGTTATTAAATCAGATTTTTTTCTGGTGACCATGACAATTATTTTGCTTAAACAAACCTTTAAATGTCTGCAAGTATATTTTTTTTATTCCCCTGTTCTATAAGATATTTTGACGTCTTTCTTTTGACATATATGTGCTGAACAAGATGGCACCACAAGCTGATGATGAATAACATCCATAACCTGTTCCTTTTGTGGTTATGTTAACGACCAATTAAAATAAATTAAAATGTGTCATTTATATCAGTTATGATTTATGACACACTGCTTAGTATCTCTTTATTTGATAATTGCCCTTCTATGTGTTTTATTTAATGAAGCCACCCTGTGATTAGGGCAGTCATTTCTAGTCTTCAGTGCTCAGATACTTTAATCTTTGGATCCGTTTTGACTTTCGCTACTATTATCCAAGCTCACTTCACTCTGTACTCATCATATATGTGTATTAGCTTCATCCACTACTACTTCTTCTGTCCGTTTCACAATTTACCTCCTTCAAGGTCTTGTAAGGACTAAAACTCTGTTTTTTTAACTTGTCTGTAGCCAGCAGCTTTGTGTTAGTGTTTATACTTTAGGGCTTTGGCACTTTACCACTAAATGATTGTTGTTGGCTGCAGATATTTCCTGAGCAGGGAGGGTGGACTGGGGCAGTGTGTCAGGGGTGGTGAGAGGATGAGCTCTCCGGCAAGGAGACAAAGGAGAAAAACCTTCTCATCTTTCTGTCGCTCTGTGGCTCATCCATGGCTAACTGGGCTCTGAGCCTAATCTCCTTCAAAATAACAAGAAAACATGAATTTGAGCACTCAGTGTCCAGCGAGTGTTTTATTCTTAAACTTTTCTGATGACCTACTGAAGGATATGTATATATATATAAGTAAGAATAACTTAAGTTGCCTTTTCTAAATGTAAAAAGTAAATATGATTTATACTATGCTGGTCTTTTAGAAAAAGAGAAGCAGTATTTAGTCTTTTTTTTAGCTTAGCATTGAAGACAAATTTGATCTACAAGAGGGGGTTTTTAAGTGAGAAGGAGGAAGGCTTTTCGCCTGTAAACAAGCAATTATACACACTCAGCATGCATAGTAGGACTGCGCTGTCTGTCAATAGCTACTTAGGACTGTCACAGAAAGTGGATGTAAGAAGTCTTGGCAATATAGTATAAGTCTCTGACAGAAAAGAAGAGAAAAAGGAGTGGGGGAAAAAGCTGAGTTTAGCATAAGCTGAAATTAAGCCGGCAATATAGGGCATCCAAGTATCTCTTACTCTGGCTACATCATTAAGCAGCAAGAAATCCAGGAAGGGCTGTTAAGGCACAGTCCTGCACAACCAGCAGATCGACTGCTCTGTGACATCCACATCCTGACAGAAAACTCGTAGACATAATAAAAAATTGACAGGAGGTGAAAACATGCAACATCTTGCATGCATTTGTTGGTGCACATGTTTGTGTTACCGTACTGATATAATTGATGAATATATTACTCCTATGAGTGGATTATAAACATTCATTATGCATGTGTCATGTCACTGACAGGGAAAGAGGAATATCACTGAGTTGTCCTTGTTACTTACCTCCTTGCTCACAGAGCTGCTGGGCCAGTGCATCCTTAAAAATGATCTGTCCTCGATGTGTTGCTGTGGCTCTGGGAGACAGACGAGAGAAGGAGATGGAGATCATTAAAATAAACACCACCACCGGGAAAGTTAACTGGTTGTCCTTATTATACAGTCTGTAGATCGATCCGGCACAGATGGCATCATTTTCCAAAATGCATTTCAGTGTTTTATATGAAAGAAGGCTTCTTAGAAAACCATTATGATCTGACTTTGACATGAAAACAAGGAAGCTCTTCACAAAGAATATCTGGGGTTAAATCTAAAATAGAAAGCATTGGGGTGTTTTAATTTTGTGCTGTTCTGTCTTTTTTAGTGGATGCAATTGGGACACATCTATAGATGCAACGCATAACCATGTATTGTATGGCTTCACATAATAACACAGTGTTTTGAAGATTTAATGTAAAGAGCATCCAAATGGAGACAAAAAATATTGTTAACTTTCACTATATCTATTCCAAATCACAACCCCAACTCACTATTTTAAGTCAGCTCTGTTTCTGCAGGGTTTTATATGGCGAGTACAGTAGTTTCTGCCCTTTTTGTTCATTTGGAAAAAGTAACCACAGTCTAAGACGGAGGTCTTCAACAGGGGGTCCGTGACCCCTAGGGGGTCCGCAGAGGTTCTGCATGGGGGTCGCGAAAGTTTTGATTAATTAGACTTTTTTTTATATTTCCACCTGCAATTTTTTCCACTAATTGAAATGTCTTTAAATACACATTAACATAAATTCAACACACTGTAGTAAACAGATAAATGGAGGCAGAAGATGTCTTTCAGTCATCAATGCTCACATTCAGCGACACACAGGAGCTCTTTCAAGCTGGACACCGTTTCATTCACAACACCTCTACCATCAACCAGGAATCTGAATCAGAAATACTTTAATTATCCCAGGAAGGAATTACTTTCGTTACATTACTCTATATGTAATAGAGTGACTATAGGAGCAGTTTGATATAACAAATTTTTCATACAATTTATATAATTAGGGGGTCCCCGCTCCATTTCACCATCAGTTTGGGGGTCCTTGGCCTGGAAAACGTTGAAGACCCCTGGTCTAAAATTTAAATTAATCACAAGTCAAAATCTGCACCATCCAAATCCCTTAAATAGAACATCACAATTTAGATTGGAAGAATGATTAAAAAAAAACAAAAAAGAAAACAAGATATTGTCAACAATGGGTGGTTAGGTTGCTTAAGGACCCAGATGCAGAGCCGAGCAAAGATAGTTCTGACAGGTTTAATTGAAGAACAAGGAAACAGAGGTAAAAATTAGTGATGTTATGAGATGAGCCGAGGCTTCGAGGCGTGTGTCGAGTAATGGAGGGGGCGTTTCCCCGAAGCGCGTAACTGCTTCGGTAAGTGGTTCGGGAAGCGCAAGAATTTTGACAGGCATCTAAGTGTTCAGTCAAGATGTGGGAGTTTGGAGAGCTGCTGTCAGCTGAATAAAGTTTGGATAGATTCTAAGAATAAATTGGTTGTTTTTCCAACCAATGTAGTTGCTTAAAGCTAATTTGGTTTGAATAAACAATGTAATGATCAAAATTTGAGCAAACCACCGAACAAAGTTAGTGTAACACGTCAGTGTTAAGAAGTATTTTCTCCTAGTTCAGACTATCTACATGAGTGGCGTTGTCTGTAAGAGACAGGCTCTCACTCTAGAGGCTGACGGTTCAAGACCTGTCTTTCTCTTTTGAAAGTTGCGATTAAACTTAATTATTTTGGCTGATGAAACTAATTTGCATTGTTTTGCCCGAGTAAAAATATAGATTGGGTAAATTAGGTCGGTTTAGTCAAAAGATTGGTTGAACACAACTTCCAACCTG